ATATATTAATTACAGGGTGCTGCGATTAATTAATCTAATCGCAAACTAATTTGGCTGTAATAATAAGAATATTAACTTCTTATTTACTGAACTGTTGTATAAAATCACATTTGCACTCGTGCTCTTCATGACAAAAACAGCACTCCTGTGATATTGCTCTCGTTGCTGGTGTGATATCGCTTATCATATGATGTAAATATGAGACAAAAACTCATACAGGGGCATTTTTTCCCCCCCAATATCTAGAACTTTAGGGCATAACTGCATTAATATTTTTCCATATATATTTCCGCTAACATTTAACACAAGATCTGATTAACGTGAAGGTGAAATGCTGTAGTAATATTACAAATCTGCGGAAGCATTTGTCATCATGCCTAGGGCGCTATGATTTCCACAGTGAATGAATGGAGCGGATGTGCTCTTTTGTTTACTACACACATACTGAAGCGCACGTGACGCTCGCGGTGTTTTCAGCCTCTACCGTCTCCCTGTATGACAATATGGACACATGAACATCATTCAGCCGCTCTGAGACATTTTGCCGTTTAATTTGAGAAAAACTCATCTCACATACACAGCAGCTGCAAGTTCTTCACGGCAACCCGTCAAAATAAAAGTTTGGTTTAACTTGAAGAAACTGTGACAGAAATATATTACTATTGTGCAGTAGAATGTAAGATTCAATGTAATAACAATACTACTACTACTACAAATGATAAATATGAATACAGCTTTATTTTTAAAGGAATAATCTCACTTTTTTTCTTTTTAATTTTAACAGTAAACCTCTGTTGTGCAGCGCTTAAAAAATTAAGATTTAGTTTTCATTTAATTAAAGGATAAATTAAATTGTTTTATGCCTTCATTTGTTTACCAGAAAAAATTAAGAAAAACATTTTATAGAGCCCTATTATTAATAGGGCCCTATAAAATATATAGGGCTCCAAAAAAAAAGTATAAAATAAAGGTCTGTGGCTCTTAATTTCTTTTGATTAATTCACCATTTGTAAACTGATGCTTACTGTTCAATTTTTAGAAATATAAATAGCATTTGTATTAAATCTATATTCATTAAATGTAATCAAAAAAATCGAGAATCAAATCGAGAGCTTGCGAATCAGAATCGAATCGGGACATCTAATATGTCGAACCCAGCCCTAATATGGACCGCTTGTATTTCACAGTATACATTATAATATAGTTATTCACATGTCAAGTATTTTAACACTTAAACCGCCAGGGGTCGTTGTATACCTAAAACCACCAGCGAGTAAAATTTACACATGCACATGACTACTGTTTTGATATGGCTAGAAAACGTATTATGTCACTGTATTATGCCACTGTCTTCACAAAGTAATGTCTAGTGTCATGAAATGATTTTTAGTCATCAACTATGTTTTTGTCCTCTTGTTTTATGTTCAAGGCTATTTTAAGCAGGCTACACTTATCACTTTTCTTAACTTTGAATATAGGCAAAAATCTGCCTGCATTGACAACGAGAATTAGAAGGAAATAAATACATATTTGGGTGGTGTAATATTATAATAAAATGTCATTAACCACATATTAAGATGACACATGTTGTTTAAATTTCTAAAATACCGTAAATGGACAATAATGAGCAATAATAATTCACTGGATCATATATATATATATATATATATATATATATGTATATGTATATGTGTTATTTTTCAGGAAACAAGCAGAATAAATAGCAAAAAAAAGCAGGATGGATTATTATTCACATGTCAAGTATTTTAACACTTAAACCGCCAGGGGTCGTTGTATACCTAAAACCACCAGCGAGTAAAATTTACACATGCACATGACTACTGTTTTGATATGGCTAAAAAACGTATTATGTCACTGTATTATGCCACTGTCTTCACAAAGTAATGTCTAGTGTCATGAAATGATTTTTAGTCATCAACTATGTTTTTGTCCTCTTGTTTTATGTTCAAGGCTATTTTAAGCAGGCTACACTTATCACTTTTCTTAACTTTGAATATAGGCAAAAATCTGCCTGCATTGACAACGAGAATTAGAAGGAAATAAATACATATTTGGGTGGTGTAATATTATAATAAAATGTCATTAACCACATATTAAGATGACACATGTTGTTTAAATTTCTAAAATACCGTAAATGGACAATAATGAGCAATAATAATTCACTGGATCATATATATATATATATATATATATATATATATGTATATGTATATGTGTTATTTTTCAGGAAACAAGCAGAATAAATAGCAAAAAAAAGCAGGATGGATTATTTATTTAATACATGCACTGTGAGAATATATTTCATAATGTATATTAAATAAATATAATATAAATATTGTAATTGTTTTGAATAATTGTATTTCACAATATATATTGTGATAGTTATTCACATTTTAAATATTATAATGTATTAAATTAATTAATATATTTAAATAAGAACACCGAATAATATACACACACATATAAATTGTATATATATTAAAAATATATAATATTTAATTATTTATTAAATGCACTGTGAAAAATATATTAAGCATTATATATTAAATAAATATTTTTAAAAATCATGATATGAGCAATTATATTTCAGTATACTGCCTGTATTACAGTATGTTATAATTTAAATGTTAATATTGTTTTAAAATATGTAATATATTAATAAGAACACCGAACACACTATTTAAACGCACTGTGAGAATTGGTTGTTAGAATAAATAAACTTTGCAATCATTAGAACTCTTGAAATCTTTTAAACATATATAAGCTGACATTTCTGAAACCCATGGTATATATTATGAGAGTTATTTTTTGCTTGAAATTCATCCCCAAAGTGTTTTATATGTTGCATAACCGTGATAATGCCTGTTGTTGTTAATCCACTGAATTAGACACTTTATGAATGAAAGGCTCTACATCTCATTTGAGTATTTTCTTTTGTTACTTGAATTTTTTGTTTTAAAGATGGTTATGCATAACAAAAGACATCAGTGGGAAAAATAGATGCGTAACATTATGAACGTCATGGTTTTAGGTGTCACTGGAGAATCGCCTAGAAAAGGTGAACCGCGACCTCGGGTTCATCCGCATGACTCTGAAACGATTCAACATCCTGCGATCTTCTGCCAACATATAGCCCACGGCTGCTGTGAACTGTCATGAATTATGATCTTTACCCTGGACCATATGAATTATTATCGTTCCACTGTACAGACTCCGATATGTACATGTTCAGTAAATATTTCTACTTTTATTACTGTGGGATCTATTTTGTATGTTTTATTACATGGTGAACATACTATAAAGTATATTTTAATAATGCCTAGATTTGTAAAATCATCTACTTTTTTAACGCCACAGAAATATGGAAAATTGTATGCTCGACTCGATATTTTTTATTTGATTCGTTTGCTGCTGATTTAAATGAATGGCAACAATCCAGTCCTGCAGGGCAGCTCATTGGCATATGTTTCCATTGCACCATGTGTCTTACGACTCTTTATTTAAATGACACTTGCTCAAATAGCAGGCTTTCACTGTTTGTGGCATGTTCATTCATTTACGCGATAACATTGCCTGTGCCATACGCGAGCAGAGAATGATAGCACATATCTGATAATAAGATGAGTAGAGTTGAATTGCCTTGTCGAAATCATCTCATGCAAAGAACACAAACCCAAACCAGCACCGACTGTTTACACATGATTATCAAAGCTAGACCTCTGACATTTTCCAGTGCAACACAGGATGTACTGCTTACTTTGATGCATGAAATTTGAAATATGCTCTTCTCTGCTTTTCCATTGTTAGCTGTTGACTGTTCAGTTTTTTCCTGTAGCTCATGGAATCTATTTAACTGTTGCACAAAATGTTCCACAATTAAAACTGCATACGGAATAATGTGTTCGACTCTTGGCTGTCTACTCGAATCATTCATTAAATGAGCTTGAAACATGTTTTGCGTTCATCAGAACTGTTTTAGTGTTAAAGGCATAATGTGACCATAAAAGGAAAATTCATTTCTGGATGCATGTAAACAAAGAAGTGTGTGTTTTGCAAACCTGCCAGATTCGTATATGCAAAAGCATAAATGATTTTGAGCTTGAATAGAAGGCATGATTTTCAGTAAATCTCAACTTGAAGGTATAAATTTATAGGTGAACTACTTTTAAATTTAGTTTCTTACAAAACATGGTCCTATGGTTTAAGAAGACTTTTATATAGTTATTTTTTTGGAGCTTACAGGCCTGTTCACATAGCTAATAATGATAATTATTTTAGTCTCCACACTAAGTTATTGCTAACATTGTTTATAATTAGTTGGCGCTGCAGTTTTGTCATCTGCCACTTTAAATGTTTGAGCTTTAAAAGCAGGATGGATTCTGATTGGCTGTCAATGTTTTTATTGTTGTTCAGCTATCCACCTTTTTCTTCAGCGAGGAAGTAAGCCTATGGGCGAGACTTCCGGTTCATTAGCCGCTAGAGGTAAATAACGAGGAGAATAACAACGTGCAGTAAACGGTAAAACTGTTTGCACTACAACCCAGTGTGTTCATAATTAAGATAATACATTCAAATAATATGGTAAGACACACCAATTTTCAATATTAAGCAGCAAAAGGAGCGGTTCTGTACAGCTAAAAATAACTGGACGCGGATGAGACCGGAAGCTAGACCCATAGAATTTACCAATGCCCATTTTTACGGCAAGAAAAAGGTGGATAAAAAAAAGTTTTTTGAAAGCGATTCCAGCGATATCGTTATGACGTGGACTCTGCTGTTCCCTTAAATTTAGAATGATTTTTTAAAACTATATTTATCGCTATAACGATTTTATTTATAGGTAGAAAATTCTGTCTTCATTTACTCTCCCTCAAGTTGTTCCAAACCGGTACGAGTTTCTTTGAAGAATGTTCGTAACCAAACAGTTGACGGTAGCCATTGACTTCCATAGTAATTTTTCCCATATGGCTACCGTCAACTGTTTGGTTACGAACATTTTCCAAAATATCTTCTTTTGTGTTAACCAGAAGAAAGAAACTCGTACGGGCTTGGAACAACTTTGAGGGTGATTAAATAATGACGGATTTTCATTTTTAGGTGAACTATCCCTTTAACAGATGTAATAACCTTTCACTTTCATTGGATGGAAAAGAGCGGCTTTTACGTTTTACAACAAAATCCTGCCATTTTTCTATAGAAGCAAGAAAAACAGCTTTGCAATGCATGAGGGTGGGTAATTGAGTCATTTATTAAGTTTTAGTTCTTTATGTTTTGTCCTTTTTAGAGCTTGACAGCTAGTCCCCATCCACATCCATTGTACAGACGAGCAGCTTGAACAATATGCAAACTATCTCATTTTGTGTTTCACATAAGAGAGATAGCCATATGGGTTTGGAACAACACGGTGGTGAGTAAGTAATTACAAAATGTTAATTTTTGGCGTAACTGTCGCTTTAAAGGTCCCATATTGTACACCTTTCTGGAGTTTTATTTATATGTCCTTAAGAATATATATTTGCGGTATAAGTACCAAAAACCATCTCAATATATTTTTACAGCTCCTCTCTCAGGAGCTCTGCTGAGAACAGGGCAGATTCAGCTACATGAGGAGCTTAAAATATCATCTTGTTGTGATGTTGGGTGCCAGAATCAAAGCAATACAGCCTCAAATTAGAAATCTGATCGCATATCTGCTGCCACTGCCAGACAAAAAACCGACGACAGCTGTGACTAAACGCGATAAAACGAGTGGACTTGGCAGAAACGATCGTCAAATATGCTCGCGTTTGCCGCGCTCACTTCTTATCAGAAAAGGTTCAATAAAGTATTGTCTTCGCGTCTACAGATTTCTTGCCATATGTCTATGTTTCTTGCATCTCACGACTATGTCGTGTATGAAATCATGTCTGTGACTAGATAGACGGTGAGTTTGTCTTTACTACACACGTTAGATGTGATCCACCTCATAGTAACAATCCTGTCAGATCGTCCATCCTTTGAGTGAGAGCGTAACGTTGGTCGGCCGATCTGGTTTCGTGGTTAAAGTTAAGTTTTTCGACATGTTTCCGTGTTGTTGTTGTTGCTCAGCAATGGCATGGACGTGATGTTGTCTGGGGTGTGGCTAAAGGAGAGTGGGACGGTGGGCGGTGCTCGGGGTGGTGACTGAAGGCGGTGACTGTGTAGTTCTGACGTCAACGTTTTACGGAAGTCACAACGGTTCGTGAAAAATAGCTAGAACTTTAAGCGGGCTGTGTGCATTTTACTGTGGACTGACTGTTTTGAAACTTATATGGTAGTTAAATAGCCCCTAGACCTCAGCAATCGTGAAAAAAGCCAGGAAAGTTCAGTTTTGACAATATGGGGGACCTTTAAGAAACACTCGCAACAGCAGCGAGTTTAGTCATCGAATTACGCCGCCAGAGGGCGCTACAGCGATGGAAAAATAACCCCTAGAGGAAGGGGAGAGGCGAATTTACCATCCAATGATATCGGGCCAGAAATGATGCTGCTCGCACTTTCGGTAAAGATAGAAAGAAGGAAAAGACGTGCACGCACTGAAAAGCTAGGTCAAGGTTTTGAGAAAGAGCATACGCTTTAAATAGACCCGCAGGACCCACGGGACGCCTCGCAAATGCACGGATCAGCATACCTGTACAGTTTTTCTGCATGCTGTTTTTTTAAAGGATCAACTACATAAGCTGCAGCGGATATAATGCCGCTGCTGTAACGTTACATGCTGAAAACAACAATGCAAAGGCAGTGACAGTCGAGCTCGAGCTCTGCTGTGGTTTAACCAGTCCTGTCACTTCCTCTTGAACGTGTGCATGTTGTGGACTGTCAGCCGTACGCGCTGTTTTAAAAGCACAGGATTTTATTTTTTGACTGCATGGAGGAAACCGTCGGCCTGCTTTGCTGTTTTATTTAGTCGGCTGAACCGGTAGCCAGCGAGGAAATAGCGTTGCAGCGACCGGCAGACAGCTCGACCTGCGGCGGGGATGTGTGTGAGCTAAAGCCGCTGGATATCGATGGCCGCGTCGCTCTGATCAGAGCCGCTTTGAGCTAAAACTCAGGTAAGAAACAACAAAGCCCGCGAAATATCTGCACGCGTTTGAAATGTTCTTTTCAACGGTCTAATTTTGAATTCCAACGGTCGCTTGTGAGTTACGTTGGCTAGTCACGGCCTTCTGTCATTCGTGACCAAAATAAATAAATAATCGCCTTAAACCCTGATTTTTTTGTTTGTTTGTTTTTGTTTTTAAACGGTTTGCCCCATTTAAACGAACCATTTGGGAGTTGTAATGAGATTAATGTAATTTATGTGGGTATTAAAGGTGCTATTTAGTTAATTGTGGAGGAGATTATTCTATTATTTAGATGCTGTCATTTTAGTCTTATCTTAAGGCTTATACGGTTGTCTTGATTAGATGGGATTCATAAATTGGCCAATCTTCGCTTTAGCATGAATAGTTAATGAGGGTTATTATCACTGTGCAGTCAAATCACTTATCAGTTTGATTTTGTACCTGTAATAATGCATGCTGTATTAATTATTCAGTTTCTTGAATTAGCATTGAATTTATATATGTATATTAATGACAAGATGTCTTTAAAGAGCCTTATTTATATTTATGTGTGATTTATAGATGTATAATTTCTGCATGTGATTTCCTCAGGAAAGCTGGTCGTGAGATGTATAGTTAGATTTTTTGGGTTTTGAATTTGTGACCCATCAAAGTTAATTAGCTCTCAGAGATAACCTACCTGGTTGAAGAAGATTAGTTAGCTCTACAACTGACATTATCCACTGCAAGTAAACTGATGAATACTTCATTTAAGTGGTTCTAACACTCATTTAAGGTTGAGGGCCGGATCGGAGAAAATGTCCCCTTTTGCGGGTCGAATTACCTTTTGTTAAACCCTAGTTTGCTCACAATTACATTAATATTAACCATACAATATAATAAAAAAAAAATCTAGGACAACTTTTTTTTTTTAAGATGATGCTTGGTTATTTTAGGGGTGTGCAATATTGACACAAAATGTCTTTTATTTTCATTTTTGATAGTGATAATTACCATATTTTGCAGAGTGTGTTTTTGAGATATAGCGCCTTGGTTGGTTTAAGCCCGTCATTGATAAATAAATATGACACTAAAGCCGCCAGTAGGTGGCAGCAAGTCTCCGTCTTAATGAGTGATCCATTGACTCATTCGTTCAAAACGGCTGATTCGTTTAGAAACTAAGCTAGTGATTGTCTTTATGAATGGGCCACTGAGTCATTGACTCAAATAATTTGTTCAAAAACGCAGATTAATACGCAGTGCTGCCTCGGAGACACACGATTGGTCTTACTTCGGCTTTTTCTTGCCAAAACGGAGATAAACAGACAGCATTGGGACTAATATAACACACTTAATACTAGCGTCTTGTTTGTTGAGCTGTTGTATAAAATCAATTCACATTCGGGAAAGCAACACTCTTGATATAGTTAGACATTACTTAACTATCACGACATAAATATTAAAAACTTAATTTGTTACAGGGCATTTTATTTTTGGTCCTCTTTTGGAAGACCAAACAAAGTAGTTTCGCTTTCACAACGAAGCACACAGCGCCTTCACGACATGACTGCAGCGTCAACAACAATACTACAGCGAGAATAAAAGTTACGCTGCGGCGTTACGATTTGGGCGGCGTTATGCAAATCTTCCCACATAGTGAGGTAGACATGTGGGGGCATGTTAGAACGAGCCGTTTTAGGTAGGCATTGCTGACTCTTAACTTTTATAAAGAATATCTCTTTGGATTTAAGACTTTAGTCTTTGCAACTTTACAGATCTTCTTTATGCACCAAGAGCTCGTAACTCTCCAAAGAGAAAGGAAAAAATGAAATCGCATCATATGACCCCTTTAAATCATCCTGCGGGCCGGATTTTAGTTTTGTGATAAACACTGTTCCCACAGTCTGGAAAAACAGCTTTGTAGTTTATGCAATAAAACAAAAAGTTAAAAACAGTAATATGTTATAAAAAATCAACTACGTTTGAAACAAAACAACAACAACAACAAAAGTGTAAATGGTGATTTACAGGCCTGGAAAGGTTATTTAACTTTCTAATTTGAATATACATTTTTAAAATGATGCTAAACTCTCTAGTATCTTATTAGATATATATTGCTGTTTGTGAGTATAACTTCTGTGGCCGATACCGATATGGTGGCCGATATATCGTGCATCCCTAAATATGATTTTTCTTAACATGGGAGCACTGTTGATTTTTAGCCAAATTGTTTCATTTTTTTATATATTTGATAATTTTACCGTTTTTTTGCGTATGTGGTTGATTCAAATGACACAGGCACGACTCTCTGTCATGTGTTTTTGTGTGCATGTCCATATAATAATTGACCATTTTTGTCAGTTGACCCTGTTTGGCTGATCTAAAGTTAATCAACTGTCAGAGATAACCTACCTGGTTAAGGATTAGAAAGCCCTTAAAGTTACGTTTCCCAAAGACGAAGAGAGTTTGTGCTGTAAAACATAGTTTTGTGTATGCAGTTTGGCGTATTGTGTAGTTGAAATCCATCCAATACTGGTTCCCCCCAATATTTAGATTAGTGTTGACCGTTTCATTGGTTGATAATTAAATTGTTACGTTTGGTCCGAAATATGAAGATACATCCTTAATATCTAGCATTATTTTCATCGGTCTTTGATTAATAAGCATATCGAACACAGTCCTGCATCATCCAGTAATCATTTCAGTCTTGTCAAGATAATTGGGCCGTTCTTCACGTCTTAATCGCAGGGTCACAATTATCTTGTCACGCAATTGTTAATTTTAGCTGCTATTCCACTTCGGAGCCTCTTTTTGCCGTGTGCGCGCAGGACCCTCCCTTTCGCTAGCAACCTACATATTTAGTTAGCGAGACCTCATAGTTTGCCATGTCCTTTTCAAGCAAATCGAGGGAGAGGAAAAAATGCTTCCCTGTATCTAATTATCCTGCCAAAATGATTAGGTTTGTTTTTAATGAATCCTGTTATGAAGCAGCCATCGTAGATAGAATGAGTCACAGTATTGATTGGCTTCCACTGCCCCCTGCTGCGCCCGGCCCGGCCGGAGAACGCCTGCTAATGGCTGCAGCTCCAGCAGGGACGTACGGGTGGATGGTGGCAAGGCAGGCCGCTGCCAGGCTCATGACAGTATGCCAATATGACCCAGACATTATCAGCAGCATGCCGGTGCCACAACGGAGAGAGGGAAGCGAAACGGCGGGGCGACACTACACAGTTGCACCTTGTTATTTATAGCTGAATAGTAAATACTGAGATGCATTCCTTCCAAACAAGGCAAGCAGGCGTGCTAGGGGCCACCAATCTGCTACAGAACATATGCATGGTAATTTGGGCCGGGAAGTTTTGTCATCCATTGTGTTATTACTGTGAAAGAATCAGTGCTGAGCTTTTTTTACAGTGGCTTTTTCTTGTAAAATTTTAAGTTGCATTGCACAATAACTAGGGATGTAACGATTCACTCAACTCACGATTCGATTCACGGTTATTATTTTTTTACAAAATGAGATTTAAGACAACTTATAAATTAAATGTGTCCTTTTATTATTGCTTGGACAAAATGCTGCACATTTCTTTGTGAAATTGAAATATAACACTATAATAATATACTAATATAGCACTTATAGCATATAATTACTCTTTTGTTGGTTTTGATTGCTTCTATTGTCCTCATTTGTTAGTCGCTTTGGATAAAAGTGTCTGCTAAATGACTAAATTGAAATATAATGTAAATGTAAATAACAAAACTAAATTGAAAATTTAAAACAAGCCCCAAATCAAATAAATAAGTAACACAAATAAAATAAATCTCTTCATATAAACAAACTAAGTCTTTGTCTGTGCTCTTTCCTTTTAAAATTAGAAGCAAACACTGCATTTTAATCATGATCCAAACAAAGATGCTGCATACATCCAACATGAGCAGTTTTTCATCTAAATTAGATTGTATAATTTTGAAAT